AATTCCATTCCATCATAATGAGAGGTTTCGACCAAAACTATTCCTTTCCATTTAGGATTCAAACATTTCATAGTCATTGCACCAACATTCAAAAGTGATAATTAGAATTGGATAAGATATCTAATTCTTTTCTAGTTTCCCAATCTGGAGAAGGCTTAACAATCCCATTAATGTTTTCCTCCATAATATTCATATGATAATTCAAGTAAAAGTTATCATAATAACTAATGAAAGATCCAAGCACAAGATCTATAGCAAGACATATGTCAAGGGTAACACTGAGATACTCAAGTTTGTCTATGTAGCTTTTATTGATTACATACAAAACTCTCTTCTTTAATTTGAATATAATTAGGAACTTTTGATGATTTTCAAATCATTGTGTTTCTTGCCTTTTGGTGAAACATTTCACTCAAATACAAATTCTTTTCATATGTTCACATGTTCATAAAAGGTCATTTTGGAACATCGAGGACATAAACATAATGATGCAAGAGACCCATTTGACAAATCTACATTTTATAGCAATAACAACTTCTTCCAAGTTGACGCATATTTGATTTACAGATATATGCTTATTATGGACATCATTCTCAATACAAAATCGAGGAATATCCTATAACAAATGAGCCATTCTAGATAGAGAACAAAGAGAATATAGAATTAGAAAGAAAGCGAGGAGGTGGGAGAGGATTCCATCTAACCTAAAGAAGAAAGTTTAAATAATTTGATTTATTCGTTAATTGCTAATCTAATTTTAAATTAACGCTAGGATCCATATATACGGATCTTAATATGAAGATGGATGTCGTAGTCACATCGCGAATCTATATCAGGTAGGTAAAGCATTTTACCAATTTCAATCACAATGGAACTTCTAAATCATTTTAGATTCATTCAACAATCAATGGTGTGTTAGTCTCAAATTATGCTCTTCGATTTGTGACTGAGATGTCGAGGATCACAAATAAGATGTGAATAACCATACACACCCGCGTGACATCCTCAGGGTCATTTATGATCTCACATTGACGTGTCGATTAAGCACACATGCTCCATTAACAACCATACAATCGAGTATATGCCATCATTTCATCTTTGTAGTCCCACATCAGTGTGTCGATTATCCACACACGCTCCACTAACTACTTGGAAAGAATTGATGTGTGTTTTCCTCGATTAGCAAACAATTCACATTTTTCCTAAAGTAACTAGAGTGAGATTTATAGAAGGTTCTAATACTTTATACATTATACTTTTAATGTGACTGTACTATCAAACCCGGTTGGCTAACTACCATTCACTACACAAAAAAGCAGTGGGTGAAAAGAACAGCCTTTCAACGGTCATTTTATAAGTTGTTTCGTTATACATCTCTTATAGTGTAGCTTCGTGGATGAGGCATACTATTGATTTGACTGACTTTTAGTTATACATATAGTAATATACTATTATACATATGTATAGGGTGTATTTTAAAACTCTTTTAAATTACAAGGTTCAAATCATATTAATTCAGATAACTTTTAATAATTAATATTTGAACTAAATAAGATTTAAAAATTATTTTTAATTAAAGTTTTAATTAAATATAATTAAATCTTTGTTAAATGATAATTCCATTATCTAATTATCTTATAATTGGATAATTACCTTTTTAAAATCTTCTATATTCAAATTAGAATTCTTAATTATCTTGTTATGATATTTAAATTTTAGACATTTAAAATAATATTAAACAACTATTAATTATCCTATCTTTTGAATAAGACAATAAAATCATAAAATTCAAATTTCAGGTAGTTGCCACGACGTGGCAGAGGGTTGCCCACATTGTGGCGACGACAAATTGTTGATTTATATTTTTTGTTCTGGTTTCATCTTTTATGCACTACTAATATAAAAGCATGACTATGATACCACTATTGGGGCTTTTAGATCACAACAACATTGTACATACGAAATTTCACTTAACTCTTAAGGGTACATGCAACCTAAATGGATCTATGTCTTTTCTCAATTAATAGCAGCATAATTATGAAACAAAAACTACAAACCCTACTAATAAAATTCATGAATAGAACCACCTACCGCTTGCTTGATTCGAAACAAGCTAATCAAATACCCTTTGTAGTCTCCAGGAAAACTAGCTCTAAAACTAGGGCGGTCTCTAGTGGTTAACACGCAAAACTTAGGAAACCATAGGATTTAAGGAGAGAGAGGTGAGGAGGAGGCGATTTCGTTCACTACTTTTTAGGTATGATAAAAGGTTAAAATGATTTTTTTTTTGACAAATATGAGGCATTAGTAAAGACAAAAACATACTTTAGTTGATCCGTCGTAAGAAGTGCGTTTCTAGGACATATAATGTATGTAATGGAGCTATATTTAGGAATAACAGCCTCTAATAAGCCTATATTTTCTGAAGCATCGTTCGATTGTGAAATGATCTCTGGTAAGTGGTAGTTTTATAGTCAACGTTTTACACCCAAGACCTAAAATTTTAACAAAGTAGCATTTGATCTAAAAATGCACTTCTTGCGACAAATCAACAAGATCTTCTTAAGTTATATTTAATATAGATGATATCTTTATGATTGTAGTAATGATTTTTATAAAAGATAATCACAAAAAATTCCAAAATGACATCAATTTTTATTATTGTGTTTTGTAATAAAAAAAAATTATCTTTATTTTGAATTTTTTAATAAATATATATAAGTTTTCTTCAACTAAACTAATACGTATAAAAAATAAAATCTTCAAAAGTCTTTAAACTTTAATTTTATTAACAAAAAAGTCATCTATGTTTTTTTTTTCAATTTAACCTCTAAAACATACATTATCTGTTATAAGGGTTATTTTGGAAATGTTGTTAGATTGCAAAAAAATAAAATAAAATAAAATAAAATTTAAGGTAATCTTTTTGTTAATAGAACCAAAATATAAAGATTTTTTATTTATTTTTAAATTTTTTTTTTTGCTTATTCTCTAGGCTTAAAACTAACGAAAATGTAATCAATCTAAAGAAAAAACAATAAATCATGTGGACCGTTTTCAGTGACGGACCTTAGTGGTGCCCCAAGGGTTCCGCGCCACTGCTCTGATAAAAAAAATTTATTTTAATGTTTTTTCTATTGGTGCACCTACTTAAAACACGAGTGACACTACTAATATATATTTATTTGGAATTTTTTTTAGTATCACCCCTACCAAAATGTTCTACCATTTTTATGGGTTTTTTTTTTTTTTAATTTGTTGCTTTAATTAATATAATAACAAAAGATATGTAAAATATATATAATTACAAAAGTAAAAATAAAAAGACAAAAGGAGAAAATAAGAAGGAAAAAAAACAAAATAAGATAAATTTGATAAATTGAAACTATATAAATACTCTTAATTAAATCGAAACTTGAACTGAAGTTATACTTTTCGGTTTTGCATTACGCCAGAAGGACCATTTAGTTATTTGCACAAGTATTATGATGTAATAATTTTTTATATACATTTAATTGAAAATAATAAAATTCCAATGATATTTTGTATATCTCAACTAAAAGAAAGAAAGTAGGCAACCAAATTGAAGCCATACATGCACTTGAGTGGGAGAATATGGTAAATCAAATCATGTGGAAAAACATATGTATAATGTATTTGCCAAATTATTTGATGTTTATTTCATCGGTATAAAAATATATCTTATATTTAGTTCCCAGATTGAAAATAAATATTGTTATAGTGGGATAGAATGTTTGTAAATTTAATATTGTTATTTTTGTTTTACGTTTTATTTTGTTCTCATTTACATGTTTATTTTTTTAAAAATTTATTTTCACAAAGTACATTAGAGATTTGAAAATGTTTTAACAACTAAATATAATTTTATAAAAACATATAATATAAATATATTAGCACTCCGAAAAAATTTATGTATTTATATATATAAAAAGAACATAAAGTATTATTTAAATATAGAAAAAGATTAAATATTAATACATATATAATATGTAGCTACATTGATTTAATATAAGATATATTAATTTATACAAAAATAAAATACTAAAATGAAATAGAATATAATTGATGGAACCTTAATAAGTTGATGAATTTTTTTGGTTTATAACGAGGACACAATAACATTTTTAATGTTATAAAAAGTATGATGAAATATCTTTATAATTGTGAATCCTCTCTTACTGATAAATAGTTTTTGATTCGACATACATGTTCCAAACATGTTTTACTATACATATATATCCAAAATAAATTATAATAAAAAAAAAATATTTTACATCCACATAAATAAAAAAAGAATTATATATACATGGATAATAAAATTCTCAATTTCATTTACAATAAAAAATCATACAAAAATTAATGTTTTATACACTTTAAAACAATTAAAAATACAAAGCAAAAAAGATAAATTAAAAAGCAAACATTACTGTTTTATTAAAACAAAAAGCAATAACTTTATATACGAAATTAATTTTTTTCATTTTTATATTATATTTAATTAATTTAGTATCGTATAAAAATAAACTAAAAGAATAAAACATAGCATGACTGAATTTTAAGCAAAGCCCAACCACCCAACTATCTCTCCCCAAAAACTTAAAAAACGCGTTTTTGCTTCCCTCTTTCGGCTTTGTATTGTTCTTTTCCGACTCTTGTCCCCCTTTCTCTTCCAAATATAAACCCCACAATTCTTCCTTTCAACCATATTAACCCACCACCACCACTCTCCTCCCTCCTCCTCCATGGCTCCTCTTACACTCCACTCCAACTGTTTCATCGTCTTCCTCCTCTTCATCAACTCCTTCTCCTTCTCCTTCTCAATTCAGAACACCCCATTAAACAACTCTCTCTCCTTCTCTCTCTCTTACCTTCCTCTCTCTCACAAATCCGCTGCAACTAAGCTTCTACGCAATTCCCTCCCTCAATCAACACCATCATCGACGTCGAATCCCAATCACAAGCTATCGTTCAAGTATTCAATGGCTCTGGTTGTTTCTCTCCCAATCGGAACTCCACCACAAGCGCAACAGATGGTTTTAGACACCGGTAGCCAGTTATCATGGATCCAGTGCCACAACAAAACCCCTACGGCGTCGTTTGATCCGTCTCTCTCTTCCTCTTTCTCTATCCTCCCCTGTAATCACCCTATTTGTAAACCACGAGTTCCCGATTTTACCCTCCCCACTACTTGTGACCAAAATCGCCTTTGCCACTACTCTTACTTCTACGCAGATGGTACTCTCGCCGAGGGTAATTTAGTCAGAGAAAAAATTACGTTTTCTCGTTACCAAAGTACCCCTCCTATCACCCTCGGATGTGCTACTGCTTCCGACGAGGCCGAGGGTATTTTGGGAATGAACCTCGGACGATTGTCCTTCGCTTCACAAGCTAAAATTTCCAAGTTCTCTTATTGTACTCCTACACGTCAAAATAATGCCAAAATTAAACCCTCCGGAGCTTTTTACCTAGGTCAAAATCCTTACTCCAAAACATTTAAATACGTTGACATTTTGACTTTTCCCAATAGTCAACACTCTCCCAATTTTGACCCTTATGCATACACCCTCGGGTTAAACGGTATCCGAATCGGAGCGAAACGATTAAATATTTCGCGATCAGTGTTTCGACCAGACGCAGGTGGGTCCGGTCAGACACTGATCGACTCAGGTACTGAGTACACGTACTTAGTGGACGAAGCGTATAAAAAGATCCGGGAAGAGATCCTCCGACTCGCGGGGTCAAGATATAAAAAAGGGTACGTGTATCGCGGATCGTTGGATTTGTGTTTTCAAGGAAATGCGATGGAGATCGGACGGTTGATAGGGAACATGGTGTTTGAACTTGACAAGGGTGTGGAAGTAGTGATTGGAAAAGAGAGGGTATTGGATGATGTGGGCCGTGGGATTAGTTGCTTGGGGATCGGACGATCAGAAGGACTAGGTGTTCCTAGTAATATTATAGGGAATTTTCATCAGCAAAATCAATGGGTGGAATTTGATATTGTGAATCGAAGAGTGGGGTTCGGTGTAGCTGATTGTAGCAGATCAGTGTGAGTAAAGGGATGCAGGGTCAAAATGTGGTAAATATGGTAATCGTGTACACGTTTGTATACGTTTCTTGGATTGCATGTGTAATCTAGTGTGTGCTGTCACACAGGCACTATAGTGTACTTTTTGTATAAACACACAAGTAAATGAAATCTCCTACTTTTGCTTTGCATCATCCTAGATTCACCCCAACTACCCAACTTAGTTAGTTAATTTTTATATATTTTTTTATATGAAATATAAGTTTCGTCTAAATATAAGTTTCGTCTAAATGATCTTGAACAAATGTTTTAAAAATTGGTTCGATTCCATTGGATCAGAACCGAAAAAAAAAAGTTCATTTTCAATTTATTATGATTTTATATTTATTTTTGAACCAAAATAACTAACTGGTATTTACAAAAACCTGGTTAGTAGAATTGATTTGAATTTTAATGCTCATATTCATCGAATTTGTAGACTTTCAAAATGACAAAGATCTCCTTGTATTGGATTTTTGAGAAATTTTTCTTTATACCAATTTTTTTTTAAATGAACATGAAAGTTTTAGAAACCGATTAGACTATTAGAAGGTGTGTATCACACCAATTCAACTAAAAATTCGGTTTTTAAAACAGCATCTTAAACTATCTTTCTCAAAGTTTAATGTTATATTATAATAATTGTAAAACTTCAATAACCCAACTAAAATTTAAGATAAAGTTTAGTAGGTTTATACAGTTAATCCATGTGTAAGTACGACAGATGTTTGAAGTTACCTAAAATTCAAGTGGACTGAAAAGTAGATAGTGAAGCTTTGACACGTAGAAAACATATTAATGATTAAAGGGTCAAAGTGGAAATTAGCTTAAAACTGCATTTATTTTTGTTGTTTAACGGAAAGGGACCACTACTAGACTACTCGTGGATTTAACAAGAGATAAGATCAAGTATATGTTTTCTTATAATCTAATATCATAGATTGTATCGAAACTTTTCTTGCCCATTCTTATATATTAATTTAGATTAGTTAACATCATACTTTGATCTCTTAAGTTCCTACGAAGACTATACACACAAAAAAGTAATCCCCATCACACCGAGACCAACTCTAAAACAAGATGTCGAGACCTATGATGCGACCTTAAGACCCCGACTCGTCATTTCTACTTAAAATCTTTTCCACCTAATTAGTCAATATTATGTCGTTACTGATTTTACCTTTTTAGTTTCGGTCTTTATCCGATGTCTTTAATATTGTTTTGACAAAGCTAGCTGTTTGCCGAAAGTTGTAAGTTGTTATTTGTGTACCAAATGGTTTCTAGCTCAGTGGTATTAGGTATTGTCCTCTCTTCTTAGAGTGGAGGATTCAAGTGTCGTCTGAAACATAAATGAATTTTGAATAGTTTAGGAATATATTGTATTTACGGTTAAAAAAAATATTTTATTTATGTAGAGTATTCTTTAAAAGGAGGTAGTTGTAAACTATAATTTTAAAGTGTAAAACATAAAACATAAAAACTAAAAAAATAAAAGTTTCTAGAAAGCTCTAAAAAGTTACTTGTTAGAATTTTGGATTAGAATTTTTTTTTTCTTTAACTTAAAAGTTTTAAGGTCTTACTCTTGAATGGAGTATTTTTTTCAATTTCAAGTTTTTTCTTAAAAGTTAAAAACTAAAATTTATCAATGACTTGGATATGCCTTTAGTTTTTATTCTATAATCAAGTTTAGTCTTGTACACCCTAGGAGATTTCTCAGTAAGTCTTAAAATTTCATTCACAACCTAAACAATTTTCCATTCAGCTTAAAGTCAAGCTTTAAAAAATTGTCTATTAAACGTGAAATCGAGAATTATACGAAGCCTTATAGAGCATTACAACTTCGTCCATTCATCTCAAGTTAGGCTATTCATCATAGCATGTAGGTAAGTACTTTGTGACGATGTGATTCTAGATATACATGGTTACAAGGATCTTGTTTCTTTGTGTAACAACCTAAAATGTAGAAAGATTTGACTTTTAGTCAAATATTGACCAAAATGTTAATTTGATCATTAATGGGAAAAATATAAGAATATAAAGTTGTAATTTTATGAAAACAGCCAAGACAAGTTTAAGTCACTATAAGAGTTTAAGTGAGTAAGTTCTAGAAAAACAATGCGTGAGATGCATTTTTTTTTTATCAAAAGGGTAAAATTGGTATTTTTATGCTTTTTAGGCCAATTTCGTGACTTAATAGATTAAGATCTGTATTAATTCAATGTGATATGACTTAACAAACATGTAGACTATGCTCCCACCTTCGCAGCTATGCTTCCACCTTTGTGTGTATACCATTGAAAACAGATAAGAAACAAAGCAAATATGCATGTTTGAAGTTGGGAGAAAAATGCCCCAAAGCTGGAATAGAATCAACAATGTACTTTGTTGATTCCCAGAAACCACGACGTGGTTGTATGTTCACCACAGCGTGGAAAATACTCTCACGACATGAACAAGACCTAGTCACCACGTGACAACAAAACAGATCAAAAGATTAGTTTATATCTATTATGGGCATAACATACTCAAACACCCCCATAGTTAAGCTCCGATGATTTCGATGGCGGTGGATGATCAAGAGGCGATTGTGGGTGATTATGACTTGGATTGAGCATAAAAAACACATGAGGTAATTGATTTTTCCATTTTTGAGCTAATTAGGGCTTAATGATAATTTTTATGATTTGGCGTCGTAAAACGCTCAGACGACGCGGAAATGCGCGTAACGAGAGACGATGTGCATTTACGACACACGATGCGTATCATTAAAGCTGCTGTTAAAAAAGGCCATGTTATAAATGAAGATGACACACATTTTTGCGTATCGTAATTTTACTTTTATTTTTTTTTAAAAAAATTATTTATAGATTTACTAATTTTCAAATTAAATTTGCATTTCATGTCTAATAATAGAAAATAAAATATCATATATAAAAAATACAATCCATTGCACAAAAGCTAATGTCATACAAATAATCATTCCAATAGTAGACAAATGTAATACATCAAATGTGAAAGAGATAAAAGTCATCAACAAATAATAGTTGAAGTAGAAGAACTTGTTGCCCACCTTCACAACATCTGAGCTACTTTGCTTGACACTATGCACATCAACATGTCCTACAAATTTGAATAATACCACCATTAGATTCACATAAACCAATCTATTAAAAACAAATATGTAACACACCAGTGTTTCTAGGTTAAGCATTAATTGAATGGTGCAATAGTTAGGGTCAACACATATAACCTACTTTGAAATAATAAATAGGTATTATTTGAATATTATGTGATTTTATGTGCCTTATACTTATTTATAAGATATAATAAGTTAAGAATAAAAATAAGAGTAAAAAAAATAAAATAATAAATAGGTCCAAAATCTAGGAAGAAACTTGTAGTGGTCGGGACAAGGATTCGGGAGATATAAATAACGTCAAAAACGGAGTTCGTATGCAAAAGTTATGGCATTCCGAAGATTTAGCTTTTCAAAAACCCTAAACTAGTTAATTCACGATGTGAGTTTTATGACGCTAACGAAATTTTGTCATAATTCGGAATCTAGAAGCTACGAGTGGATAAGATCCAATTCACGACGTGAGCTTTATGACACTCACGACGTGAGGTGTCATGGCCACCATCCGAAGCTAGGGACGCAAATGGCAAGTCGGCGGAGTGAATCATGAGATTCACGACGTGAGTCTTATGACACTCACGACGTGAGTGTCATAAAAACTTACTATAAATAGCAAGATCGACCCGTTCACTTCCTTACACCATTTCTCACTTCTCTCTCTAGCTCTCCTAAACGCCCCTAAACCCTAAGTAAACCCCCTAGCTCCCGAAGGAAGCCCCGAGGCTCCCGGAGTCCTGAGAAAAAAGGGTCTTTTGGTTTCGAAACGCTACTCCGAGTGAAGCCTGGTTTTCTTTAAAATCCGTTGTTTTGTCGAGGAAAATTGTTTTAAGAGTAACGAAGTGTTGTCCGAGTGCCGACTCACCACCTTACCCGATGAGTGCATAGTTACTTTCATCTTACACATAGATATGAAGTATTTTATATATTACTTGATATGTGTGCATATTATCTGTATACTTACTATCTATGCTGGATGAATGTTTTTATACAAGTTTTAAATGATTTAAACTATATATGTATTTTATATCTACAAAAATGTTGGGGTAAACACATGGGTAGATGTAATAAGACGATGTGTGACAAAATGATGAGAGGCCTCGATGTTGTCGTTGTTGATCCAGTCATCTAGCGGAGTATAGATGACGACCACAGACTATTCTGAGGAGTCCAGTGGAACGCTGGCACGCTCGCAACCTGTAGGTGTTGTGAACGATGTGTTCACCGGTGTACTCCATCCCCCACATGGTTTCCTTTAGGACATTTATTGCTAAGGAACCCCCTTAGCAGTAGTATCCATCCCGACGATAATCCTTAGGTTGGATCCCTTATGATAGATGTTTAGGGACGTAAAGTGAGGATAACGGGAATGGGTAATCAGGTTATTGTTGGTTGATGAAATTAATAAACTTATTTATTGCAGGTTGAAAACCCTATGTGCTCACCAGGCTCCTAAGCCTGACCCACTCAGTTTTCTCGTATACAGGTAGTGGAAAGAGAGCACAGGAGTGATGATCTGATGAGAGATCAATGGACTATAGGCTACTAGAATAAATAGATATTATAATGTCTATGTTGTTTATGTTTATGCTTTTGATCTGTATTAACAATGATATCCCAAAGTTTTTAATATAATACATTCTACGGAAATGCTTTGATAAATTCTTTTTCATATTTTTTTTGGTAACAAATTCCGCATTATATTTCTTTAAAAATATACTTTGATTTTCAAATAAAGCATAAACAAATCGGTCTTTTCTGGCCGTGAATTTGGGGATGTCACAGTTGGTATCAGAGCACTAGTTTAAGCGAACTAGGAAATTGTAGGATTTGTAGACTTAAACTTAGAATGC